CAAAAAAAAAAAAAAAAAAAGTCACTTCAACATTCTAACTGTAACTGAAAAGTTTGTTATCAGCAGTATGATAGTTTGCAGTAAATTCAGCGTACTTACCAGAGGGATGTTGAAGGGGCCGATGATGCGTGACATGCTGATGGATGGAGTGGATCCATCGTCTCCAACAACAGCCATCACAACACCAGATTGGGAACAATTGCTGCCTGTGTAAAATGCAGGGTCCTGACCATTTATTATTTGAAATGCCACATGTGCAGACACTGGTGCTGAGATACACGAGTCATAGATCTGATATCCAAGTTGGATGCCCGGCAGCAGCTCTGTGCTGTTGTTTATTTCCTCAATGGCAAAAATCATTGCACGAGAGAAACGCAGACCCCGGGCATTAAACCTGCATATAAATTTAGACATGCTGATATTTGCAGACAATAATGAAAAATTTGCAAAAGAATGTAGGCAATCAAAGAAATATAATGCCCAATGAGCTACTGATCCTGCAAAACATCTGTAAAAAATCAAATTAATGTATACATAATTTTCCTAAGTTATGGATTTAACAAATTATAAGAAATTATTCACTTCATTTCAAGGTGATTTGATATGATAGAGCAACATTTTTATTTTAAATATTTACTCAAAACCATTTTTTTTTTAAATCCTATGATCTACTTATTGGTAGCTAAAGTAACATGTTCAAGTTTCTTGACACAGCACAGTAAAGTAACACCTTAAATTTTGGTTGTTGCAATATACAGTTGTTCCCCTAACATCAAAGCAAATTTTACGACAGATGAAAACATTTCCACTCATAAACATCAAAAATATCGGTTTGCCTTTTTTCCTTACTAACCTTCCTGTGCACCTTGGAGGCTCAGGCTTGGCGGTGTAGTTATAAATCACTGCATCCTGTGTGTAGTGTAATGAGAAAGCACCTCCGATCACAAAGTCTCCACCCACAGACAATGCAGGGAAGCGCGGAGTGCCCTGTAGGGTACATTTTATTGACGACGCCTTAATATTGACGCCAGCACCAGTAAGAGAATCCATAGACTCAGTGTTTTGTTTCAGCCCATTTACAGACCCACTCAAGACAACAGCTGACATCAGCTCCAATAAACTCAAGGCCAACTTTAAACGTTTAAAGAGTAAAACAATCACCCAGACCTCCATTCCTTATGAGTTTGTATTTGGGTGTGTTTTACCTGTTTAAATATTTCATATATTGTTTACGTCAGTAGTTGGTTCCTCCTCCATGCATTCACAAAGTGGTCTCCAGGCATGACTTTCATCACTTTGCATCCCTTCCCCCCCCCCCCCCCATATGCCCGCTCCCAACAATTAAATCAAAAGCAACAAGATTTTTAATTTTGGGGGGATTTTTGAAGAAATGTTGTTTCCCTTTTGAGGAGCTTGGTCAGTTCTAAAATGATCTGTAGGGGGTTACAAGCTTTTAAACTGTTGAATGGCTGTTCGTCTAATGAGCTGAACTCACATGCAAATCACTTTGACCTCCATTCTTTTTGAAAGTTGCCACAGATTGTCAATAAACAATAATATGTTTAAACACACAGCCGTTTAAATGTGTTAAAGGTCAAGCCACCACTAGTGCTTGTAAATCTGGTTCCTGTTATCTAGCCGTGTAAATTTTAAATCTGGAATACACCGTTTTCCCAAATAAACATATGAAACTGTATAACGGTGATGGTGAGTTAAATATATAAAGGTTGCAAGTGATGAAGAACAACTTTAAAAGTTGACATTTACATTAAAAATGTATACAATAATTAACTTTTTTTATTATTTATTTATTTATACACAAATGTGTATTATAGAGGGATTAGATAAATAAAATGTTTGACAAAAAACATCTGAAATATATGCTTAAGCTTTGAATGTCTAATGATTTTATTGGTGTTCAAAACATACATAGATGACAAACAAAATACCAATAGAGCAAGTTCCATCCATCCATCCATTTTCTTTACCCGTTTATTCCATTTTGGGTCACGGGGTTGCCGGTGCCCATGTCCAGCAATCACTGTGCGAGGGGCGGGGTACACCCTGGATGGGTCGCAAGTCCATCACAGGGACACATAGAGACAAACGAGACAAACAACCATTCACTCTCTCACTCACACCTAGGGACAATTTAGAGTTACCAATCAGCCTAACACGCATGTTTTTGGTCTGTGGGAGGAAACCAGAGTACCCGGAGAAAACCCACGCATACACGGAGAGAACATGCAAACTCCACCCAGAAAGGCCCGTGGACCAGGATTTGAACCAGGGACCTGCTCGCTGAGAGGCAGCAGCTCTACCAGTTGCGCCACCGTGCTGCCCTAGAGCAAGTTTACACAGGAAAATATAATTAATAGATGATAATGCATTTATTCAAAATATTAGCCCTAAATGATCAATTTAGCAAAAGCTTAGTATTACAAAACATTTTTTTTAATAAATGCTAATAGCCAAGGCAGTTTTATTTTTGCCATCATGCCATATTTATCTTGACAACTTTTTTTAATCCAGTTTTTTTTATTATATTTCAACAGCTAAATAAACAAAACAAACAAAAAATATATATAACTATTTATCCTGACATCTACACAATCATTAAAAAATTTGAATATCGTGAAAACATTGAATTATTTTTGCAGTCATTTCACAACATGAAACTCAAATATATTGATTTATGACACATAAAGTGCAATAATGCAAGCTTGTATTGTAATTTTGATGATTGTGGTTTTCAGATAGTAAAAAACATTGTCTTAGAAAATTAGAATATTTCATAGCCAGTTTTTGGTACATTTGGCAATGCCAAGTCTTGCTGGGAACTTAAATCAGCACCTCCATTACGCTTGTCAGCAGAAGGAAGCATGAAGTGCTCTAAAATGTTTTTTTCATTATTTGTAAGCCATACTCATCAAAATGACCAGAAATAAATGATATAATTTTTTTCACTTTATGTTTAATGAATCTATATAAAATACAAGTTTCACTTTCTGAAACGACTGACAGAAAAATAGAATATCTTCCCAACATTTTTTTTTTATTTAAATGAACGTCTGATTCCAAACATATGAAAATAATTTAAATTATTTGTTGTTCATTAAAAATTTCTTAGAGTTCTTCTCTGGATGAAACAATATGATGAAACACTTTGGAGCAAATATACACAGTATCAGTCCAAAGCTGGAGGCCAGAATGGCAAATATCTCCACAGCCACA